CGCAGAGCGGCGCTTGCGCTCGCAGCCGAGGGGAGCGCGCTGCTCCGCCGGGTCCCGGCCGGGGACGTGGCTCTGCTCGGACGAGGCACTCGCAGACTCATCGCTGGTCCTGCTGATGCTCCTGGCCGCCCGGCGCTAGCTTTGCTGCGGGAAAACAAACAAAAATAACCCCCAAACTCGCGCGTCAGGAAGCAGAGGGAGCGCGGCTGCAGGTAGGGCTGCTGGGCAGCGCGCTGCACCTTTTCAGGCCTCCCTGAGCCGTGGTAACGCACGGATGTGGCATGAGGTTTTTCTATACTTTTCATCGTTACAGAGACATCTGCTGTGACCGAGTTCGTTTTAGTGGTTATCGAACAGGAAAAGAGTTTGGGAAGCGTGATGTGACCGTGGAGTTCCAGAAATCTGGAAGGCTCGGGACAGGTCAGTGAATCTTTAGAATCAAAGGAAGCCAGCACTTGACAAAGGGACGTTTTTGCTGCACCTTACTGTAGGCTCGGCTTAGATTTGCTGCCAGGTTGTCCCATCTCTCCCCTTCGGCTGTCGCGGGAAGCTGTCATCTCAAAAGTGGTACCTAAGTGTTATAATGTGGATATTCCGTAGATGACTGGCTTTGTCATGACTAGAGGCTTTGGAGGTAAAGAGCCTTAGTTGTTTATAGTAAACATAAACTAAAAGACTAATTTGTCTTCCTGGGGATGACAGCATTAGGAGGAAGAGAAAAGCGCTAGAATAAATTAATACTTTTATGCTGGTGATGGCCAGATTTGGCAAGGCACTTGGTTATCATGCTTATGTTTAAAAAAAAAAAAAAAAAATCAGAAGGGAAACCTATCAGGAACAGCTTTCCTGGTCCTCATTGAGATCTGTCGGACTCATGAGCAGCATGGAGAAAGTGGCCAGGCTCAAACCATATCCTGTTCTGGCACAGTGCTAGTCCTAGATGTGGGTTCATGAGAGCGGGGTTTGTATGTGTAACATGGGAATAACTGGGAATGTATAGAAATAGAACATGAGTTAAGAACTTCAAAAGTACCCAAATGACCTGGGCATTGAAGTCATGCAGGCACTCCTGAAAAACGTGTACCAGCCTTTAAATGGTTTCTATTATTCACCCTACCTGCAATTTTCTTTCTTTTTATTATTTTTTTTTTTTTTAAATGTATGATGCTACCTGGACTTTCTTGCATCATCCGTAGCTACTACCCTTCCACTCGGTGGGGAGGGGCTGGGGGGTTTTTTTTAAACGTGTCCCAGCCTTTAAATGGTTTCTATTATTCCCCCTACCTGCAATTTTCTTTCTTTTTATTATTTTTTTTTTTTTTAAATGTATGATGCTACCTGGACTTTCTTGCATCATCCGTAGCTACTACCCTTCCACTCGGTGGGGAGTGGCTGTGGTGGCAGAGCCAGGAATCCCAGATTCCCAGCCCTGTGCTTGGATACCAGGCAGTGCTTTAAACTCTGGAACGTATTACCACAAAACGTTGTGGAAGCCAAGAGTGCTTGGCTTATGGGATTTGAAAAAAGGATTAGAAATTTGATATGGATAACAAGAATCTCCAGAATTAATAGCAAATTAAATGAGAGCTTTACAAGGGATATAAGTCCCTGATTTTTCAGGGCGTAAACCAATCTTAGGATTTAGTAGGAAACTTTTCCTTGTAGGGAGATTTTTCTTGGGCTGCCTGCTGGTGGGTATATTCCCCTACGGCTTGCTACATACGTAGCCTGTGCAGTGTCTTCTGTGAGAGCATCTTGTCTTCTTGAAGAGGTTCCAACTGAAGTACCTGAACCTCAAGGTATTTCCCAACATCGAGCTGTTGCTAGAAGGCCCCGCACACGTGGCTATGTGTAGGAGCTGCCTGCAGATAACGGTAACATTATCTGTGGGCAAAGCAGTAGTCTTACAGACTCTAAGATTGTCATCACCATAACAGAATAGAGCAATAGTAGATACCGCAATGTACTCTTGTCAAACTCCACCGGCAGCGTCTTTTTGAAGGTGTACAGTCAATTTTTGTCAGCTGTGAGAAATGCTATATCTGTAGTGTGAGGAGCTAAAATCATTAGACTGGTCGCTAAGTTAGGAAATACAGCCTTTGGTCTGCTTTATCTTTGCCAGAATCCCTAGAAAATATGGATGTGTAGCCTAAACTCTTGCTAACCTTTTCACCAAACTGCTTGTTTCGCTGGAGCGCTCAAGTGGCAATGTTTGGGGGGGGGTGGTGTGGTGGTGTTGTTTTTGGTTTTCCCTCCTGAGTCACACATCTCTGCTCTTGGACTAAAGCCTCCATATGGAGTTTAGGGTGATGGCTGGACTCTTGTGGCTGTTGGCATTGTGAGTGCATGCTCTTAAAAGTAAAAAACTAACCTTATCTGCCCAGTTTTGTGATGAAGCTGCTAGCAGAAGCTTTGTTCAGAGTATGGACCAAAAATGCTGGTCCTAAAAGCATCAAATCCATTGTGTGATGAAGTGACAGGGCAAAACCTGCTCTTTGAACGTAACTGTGTGGGTCTCCTTGCGTGGCTTTTTGCAAAGCCTGGTTGGAAATACTAGCCTGTCTGCAGACTGCCTGCATCACTCTGAAAATCTTAACCCAGAGCCTTCTGTGTCAGATCCACAAGAAGCTCTGAGGGTTTGCAAATTACTTCTGAGGAATGTACAAAAGCAAAGGAAGAGAAACAGTGATGTAAAAGTAGTCTTTAGATGTGATATTTTTAATCTTCTAGATTGTATGAGTCTCAATCTCTGGCTTCCATAGTTTTACACTGGCAAAAAACAGCGTGAAAAGTTACGCCTGTGGCAGTTTCCTGACTACTCCCTTTTTAAGGAGTACTGCAGGCGGTGATGTGGCAGAGAACTTCGGAATACTGCTGGGTTTGTGTGTTCTCCACTGGACATGACTAGCGGTTGGTTTGATTCAAGCTGCCTATTAGTCTGTCAGGTCTGGTACCAGGCAAGACCAGTGCCAGCAGCTTGCTTAAATGACAAGAAAAAACACAGTAATTTGCTGATGTCTCTTTTTCTTGATGGCTCTATGTTCTCGGGCAATTTAAGCATAATTTGTACACAGCAATGGACATAGGGCTAATGCATTCCTCTGACTTTGGTCTCTTCAGAGGTTGATACCACTTTTGTCACGGTGGGATTGTGGAGCTTTTCAGATGAGCTACAAGCAGTGTGAGTAACATCTGTTTGTGTTTCTGCTCCACTTCTTGCTGTGTTGGCGCAGTTCACCCAAGGAGTGTCTTGTTTTGGTGGTTGGCTGTTTGGGGTTTTCTTTAATGTGTGTGTTGCTACCTCCTTATCTTGGCTAAGGCAACATCAAAGCAAAACGCTTGACCCGTTGGGTGAAAGTTTGAGGTTTGTGATGGATTCAAGGTGGAGAAGCGAAAGGACCAGAGTGATGGGAGGAGAGCAGCTGCAGGTAGGGGTGAGCAGGCAATGGTAGTTGTAAAGCCTCGTATCTGGAGAGAAGTAAGATGGTATGGAGAGGGGTATGCAGAAACCAAGAAGAGTTACATCTGGCGAATCTCCACTTGCTTCTGCTGTTGCGAATAATTCCATCATATGATCATGCCCTGTGGCTTCTGCAGGAGGTGGGAGGCAGTCACTGCAAGACAGCTACTTTTAACTAAAAGTAACCCTAGACAGCCAACCTGTGGAGTCTTGTGATCCTTCAGCCATGCAGTTAAACTCATGATCGAGGTTGTGCTATGAGTGGAGCAAGGGAGTCACGAGAAGCTTGTGAGCAGCTGTCAACTATTTTCAATGTTGACTTGATTTCTGAATACTTAATATCAGACATCAAAACTATCCATGCGAAAACAGGAACCCAAGGGCTCGCGTAAAAAAGGAGACAGAGGTGCTTGCAGAGGAATCCTTGCTTTTAAAAAACAGGGGGAAGCTGTAAAGCAGTCTCTGCAAGGCAGCCAAGCAATATATGTGCTCATAGAAGACTGTCTGTAAGTGTGGATTTGCATAACGTAAAGGAAATCTTGCAGTTGCCACAAACAAAAGAATAGGAAGAGAGTAAACCAAGGGATTGGTTTTTTGCAGTTCTGTGTCCTGATGCTTGTATTGTTCAGGCAAACTACATTTATCTCTGTCTAAGATTAACAATATGTTGAATCCATACAGCCCCTGAAACCTATTCTATTTCTTGTGCTGCTCTTGCTCTTCACTGCTCTAAGAATCTGAGTCTGATCTGGTATTACAGAGCTGCAGACAGTTGTTGATGTGTCCACCAACAAAGCTATCAAGCTGCTTGTTCAAAAAACATACTAAGTAGAACTGTAAAGTCACCATTTCATTATATTTATTGTTTGTATGCATGCTGTTCCTTGGAGGTCCTCAAATTTGAGCCCTTCTTCCTTGTTTTTATATCCTAAAATGTCAGTTCCTCTTGCAGTTCAAAAATATTTGTTTAACATTTTGCCAGCCTGCATAAGAGGAGAAACAGACCCCCGTGAATATTGTCTGGCAAAATAAGAAATGTAATGTAGGAATGTGGTCCGAATGGCTTCTTTGTCTCAGTGCTGGAGGGTGGCTGGAACACACACAGCAATAAGCAGGTGCTTGATTTGCAGCTCTGAACACTTTTTCTTTCTCCATGTACATGCACAAAAAGAAACTGCTGCTAGTCCCGATCTTAAGGACCTGGGCCTGCCTTACATCCAGGGAAACCTTGTTTGAGTAACACATGAAATCAGCTCTGTCGCTTGCGGAAAGAACCAGCTTCTGGTGACTTGCAGATGAATTCTCATAATCACCAGGTTTTGAATACTCAGAAGGTGTAAGGATGGCCTCTGGCAAAATAATGAGGTTTATTTGAAAAAAGAAACTTAAAACAATGACGGGCATCGGCTTTTGGTTTGTGAGGTCTAAGGTTTTTCTCTTCAATCAAGGGAACCGATTTTTTTTTTTTTTCCATCTTCATTTTGTTGGAAGCTGAAGTTCTCCATGGTGGTTTGTCTCCAGGAGCTGGGACTTCAAGAAAAATGCAAATATAATGAGTGCAGTGACTCAAATCCGTGCAAGTTGTCAGCACTCAAAAACCATTAATGTTCTTGCAGAGCAGGCTAGAGCCGACTCCAGGAATGATGTATACATAGTTGTGGATAACATCTAAATCTTGCTTTAGATTTATGGGTTTAGGCTTTTGGTGAAATGGTGCATGCAATAAAATCCGTGGATCACAGTTTCTTTAGCAAACATTAGGGGTGATTCTTGCTGGGATCTGACCTACTACATCAAAGAAACTGAAGTGGTGGTCAAACCTCAAATCCAATGCTATTCTGCCATCTCCTCCTCCCAATTGCCTGCTTCTAATTTAGGAGCAATGGGCAGAGCTGGCTCTTCGGTTAGGTTTGACAGGGATGTAAGTGTACTCACTCAGTTCTCTGCCTTCTCTGCACAG